GCCGGGCCGCCCCCCCTTCCCACGGCGAGCAGGCGGCGGCGTGGGCCGCCGCGCCGGGCTCCTGCTGATTTAGGTCCCAGTTGCGAGCGGTGGCAGGGCTCTGTCTGCTCACTTTTATTGCAGCTTTACGCCCCCCTCGTGTACTGCGTTAGCTGCGTTGCTATCTTTAGGGCCGTACCGTTTCAGTAACGTTGTGCAGTGCCTTTCACACTAACGCGTTTCCACCCTAAAGCCAGTTGTGGGTTGTGGCCACACAGTGTCTCTAGGAAAGAGGCAGAAAGCTCCTTCTCATCTGCAGCCTATATTACTCAATGCCAATTTATACGCGTTTGGTTCTTAGTCTTCTGTTAGCTGGAGGGAAATCATACCGGTTTTCAAATATCAGTTTGCTAGGCCAAAATGCTTCTATGAAAATGCGATTCAGTGCTTTTCCTTTCTTAACGATTTCAAATATCTACTACCAGTTTGGAGAAGTCCTATAAAAATGATTACAGCTGGTTTCTGGTTTCCACCAGCCTATTGCAGTCTGGAGCCCTCTTAGAGTAGATCACTGTAATGCAAAGGCCTGCTACAGAGTCACAGGATGGCTGAGGTTGGAAGAGACCTCAAGATCGTCTGCTACAATCCCCTGCTCAAAGCAGGGTCAACTAAAGCAGGATGCCCAGGACCACGTCCAGTTGGGTTTTAAATATCCCCAAGGATGGAGACTCCGCAACCTCTCTGGGCACCCTATTCCAGTGTTTGATCACCCTCACAGTAAAAAAGTTATTTCTTATATTTTGAAGGAATTTCCTGTATTTCATTCTGTGCCTATTGCCTCTTGTCCTCTCACTAGATACTGCTGAGAAGAACCTGGCTCCATTTCTTTACACCCTCCCACTAGATATTTACACCCACTGATGAGCTCCCCACCGGAGCCTTCTGTTCTCCAGACTGAACTGTCCCAGCCCTCTCAGGCTCCCCTCATGTGAGAGATGCTCCAGTCCCTTAACCATCTTACTGGCCCTTTGCTGGAGTCAGTCCAGTATGTCTGTGACTTGTATGGGGAAAGAGACTTGCTTGAGGGTCGCAGACAGAGTGCTGTAACTACCTTGAGCTCCGCATAAATTACAGTAATAAAGACTACTTTGTGACATATCCTTTACCATTCTGCTGAGGCTTCCTGGCTTTGGTGAAGTACCAGCAAGGCAGCTGCTTTTTGGACAGTTATTGGGATGCACACATACGACCTATAAACTGGACACTAAGCTACTGAATCGACTGTTGTCATTCACGCACTGGAACAGATGACATTTGCTAGTTTTATGAACTCATGTTCTATATTCCTTTTTTTTTTTTCCCTGAATACAATGGCAGATCTGTAGGAACTGCATTACAAGAGCGATTTTTCACTACTGAAAAACAAAATCTATTTAGTTCAGCCAGACAGACGGTTGTTAGATTGAGTGAGGTTGTGGCGAGATTGACTGGAAGTAGTGAATGAAAGCTTTTGTAATAAGTGGAACAATTAACTATTAGAATAAGATAATGTTTTTGCTTTGTTTCCTAGGTAGCATAATTTAAATGACCAAATGACTTGCTCCTGTAGACCGCTACTTTAACATGAATATCTTAATAAATTTTTTAACACTTCATGTTGCTCATAGTAGAAGCACAGGAGGGTATGAATTTATCAATGAATCAGTCACAATTATATTGAAATATTAATAATTTGGTTGCAATTTTCTGATGAACAAACACATCTGATGCTCTGAATGTCCTTGAAAATCCATCATTGTCAAATGTGCATGCTGTCTTTCAATAAATTTCAGTGAGAGAAAAGCTATTCCAAGGACACAGAGACAGGAGTGCTGTGAGGGTCAGAGGAGGAGGAGAGGGAATGGGGTACTAAGCTCCATGAATAAGCCATCCATCTCAATTCACTGGCATATGCCAGTCTGCTTCAAGTGTACAGAACAGTACAAAATACCTATACCAGTAGATTTCTCCATGTTTTCTTTTTATCTAATGTTATAATATTAGAATTCCTTTCTGTTTTCTGATTCACAGATGATTTATTTCAGCAGCATTTATTTTCTGTACTTAGATAAGACATTACTGCCTAAAACAGGAATAAGAATACTGTTCTGGCTGTAGTAATAGCCAGTTTGACAGACTAAAATTTCTCAGTTAATTAAAAAAAAATTAAAAGGCTCAAGTTATTTCCACATATTTGTTGAAACACCTTTTCTGGCTTCTGTCCATTTCCACTGCATTGAGTAGAAGAAGTTAACCTTTTATTCAAACTATACTGTTCGTGTTGGCTCCTGAGTGTCTTACTGATGTTCCAGAATACTCTCTCCTTCTTCCCCACCTTTTATTTTTTCCCTTGCTTTTCAAGACCAGAAATAACTTTATTTAAACTTGCATCTGGTTCCAAGTTACAGAATTTCACTCATACACCCTGCATATGCTATGCCTAACATTTTGTTTAACTGAAGTATATCTTTCAGAAAAACATATATTTTTTTTCAAAATCTGAAATCATGAAGAGATAGCAAATCCACTGCTTTATTTTGAAGCTTGTTTCAAGAGTCAGTCACCTTCTTTTTTATCAATTTAATTCTAATTTAACAATTCCAATTAGTGGAAGCAACATCAAAAGAGAAATTCATTATTTCTAATTCACATAGTCCATCTTTAGATTTTTTTTTTTTTTTAGATCTGTCTTTTTCTGTTAGAAAAGAGCCTATCAGAACTACTCAGTATTTTCTCTAAAATTGCTTTTACATTGTAATCAAGTTCTCTCTTTTTCCCCCCTCCTCTGTCCTTGGTAAGGTAAACAGTCCAGCCTCATGAAGTCTTTTGCAGCAAAGCATTTTTCTGCCGTTTATAAACACTTTCTATGCCTTCACTGAAAACCTTCTTCAATTAGTCAACATTATTCTGAAAGTGTGGAAACCGCAAACACATGCATTCCAGAACTGGTCTTACTACTATTAAGTAAGGAGGTAAAAACACCTCTCCGTTACAATGGCTACATTCCAGCACCTCATTTGCTCCTGCTGCACACAATTTCTTCCCCGCTATGTTTGCTATACACTTCAGAGCATCGCTGTCGTGCAGGTCACAGTTCCTCATTTTGTAGC